CTATTTTTCCGGCACTGCTGACCATGTCTCCAGTGTGAATCTACTCATATGCGCCAGAAATATGAAACAGTGAATCTTTTTTTTTAAAAAAGAGAAAAATCAATCCCGGCTGATGGATCTCGAGAGGAGGAGAGGGGGAGAGACATCAGCTGTTACCACAAACATCACCATTGCATGTAACTATTGTGGATTAATCACTATCTCCACCCCCTCTCTCTCTCTCTCTCTCTCCCTCCCTCTCTCTCTCCCTCTCTCGTATATCCTCTGATAATGTCATAGACCCATCTCCCACAGAACCCACAATCACAGCCACATCGACCCCACAGTTGCAGTACTCACATTTGATCATCCTATCCGAGGTGGATACATTTATATCATTGTTGGACATCTTCATCTGCGAATGCAATGGTTTTATATATATATAATATATATATAATATATATATATTTTGTGGGGGGGGGCTGGGTGGTGGGAGGCAGAGGGTGAGAAGAAGCAAACAAAAATGAAATTAAAATGAAATGAAGCAAAAGCGAGGTGGGGAGCAGGAAACCCCCTCTTGTTGTCGCTTCTTGTCGTTGCTGTTGTTGTTGTTGTTGATGTTGATGGCTGTTATTTTCTCTTCTTCCTCCTCCTCCCCCCCACCCACCCCACCCCCCCCCCCCCTCCTCCTCCTCCTCCTCCTCACCACCACCACTCAGATTGAAACGTGTTGCAGAAGGAAGGGGGTTGGTTGGATGGATGGAGGGATGGAGGGATGAATAGAGGGAAGGATGGAGGGATGGATAGAGGGAAGGATGGAGGGATGAATAGAGGGAAGGATGGAAGGATGGAGGGATGGATAGAGGGAAGGATGGAGGGATGGAAGGATGGAGGGATGGATAGAGGGAAGGATGGAGGGATGGAAGGATGGAGGGATGGAGGGATGGAGGGAGGGAGGGATGGAGGGATGAATAGAGGGATGGATGGAGGGATGGAAGGATGGAGGGATGGAGGGAGGGATGATGTGGTTGGAATGGGGTATTATTGCTTCTCTCCTTTGCAAAATCCAGAACAGTTGTGCTCAGCCCCGGCAGCTCTGTGCTGTGCTCAGAGAGACTGAGAGCAACACTCACACACACTCACACACACAGAGAATGGAGAGAGAGCACAGAGGGGAAGCGCCTGCGCCTGCGCGCCGGGGGAGCGAGAGCGCCACAGTGTAGCGGGAGGGGGCGGGCGGGCCCGCCACACGCGCTATATTCACTGACTGACTCGCACGCAACTGGTTTGTCGCGCGGCGGCCGCCCGGGAACACGCGCGCGCGGCTCAGTGCGAAACCCGTCTCCCAGTGCGGACGCCCGCCCCGCCTCCCGCCCCGCCCCCCAGCGCCAGCCCCGCCCCCAGCGCCAGCCCCGCCCCCCGCCCCCGCGCATGCGCGCGATCGCACGTCTCGGCCGGTCGGCGGGTCGGGCCGACGCGGCGGCGGCGGTGAGGCAGCGGGAAGTCCACCGCGCGGCTCGGCGGGAGGGCGGGAGGGAGGGAGCTGAGGAGAGAGAGAGAGAGAAAGGGGGAAGCTGAGGGGGGGGGGGGGGAGAGAGGGAAGGACGGGGATGGCTGCCCCGAGGTGTCCTTCCTCTTCCTCCTCCCATCATCATCACCGTCGTCAACGGTCACAGGCAAGTGAGAGGCACCGCGCACGCGCACTGGTACTGTCCCCTCACTGACTGCAGCTCTGTCACTGTGTGTGACTGTCACTGTCAGTGTGTGACTGTCACTCAGTGTGTGTGACTGTCACTGTCAGTGTGTGTGACTGTCACTGTCTCTGTGTGTGACTGTCACTGTCAGTGTGTGTGTGACTGTCAGTGTGTGTGTGACTGTCACTGTCAGTGTGTGTGACTGTCACTCAGTGTGTGTGTGACTGTCACTGTGTGTGTGACTGTCACTGTGTGTGTGACTGTCAGTGTGTGTGTGACTCACTGTCAGTGTGTGACTGTCACTGTCAGTGTGTGTGTGACTGTCACTCAGTGTGTGTGTGACTGTCACTGTGTGTGTGACTGTCACTGTCAGTGTGTGTGACTGTCACTGTGTGTGTGACTGTCACTGTCAGTGTGTGTGTGACTGTCACTGTCAGTGTGTGTGACTGTCAGTGTGTGTGTGACTGTCAGTGTGTGTGTGAGTGACTGTCAGTGAGTGTGTGTGTATGTGACTGTCAGTGTGTGTGTGACTGTCACTGTTAGTGTGTGTGACTGTCACTCAGTGTGTGTGTGACTGTCACTGTCAGTGTGTGTGTGACTGTCACTGTCAGTGTGTGTGTGACTGTCACTGTCAGTGTGTGTGTGACTGTCACTGTCAGTGTGTGTGTGACTGTCACTGTCAGTGTGTGTGTGACTGTCACTGTCAGTGTGTGTGTGACTGTCACTGTCAGTGTGTGTGTGACTGTCACTGTCAGTGTGTGTGTGACTGTCACTGTCAGTGTGTGTGTGACTGTCACTGTCAGTGTGTGTGTGACTGTCACTGTCAGTGTGTGTGTGACTGTCACTGTCAGTGTGTGTGACTGTCACTGTCAGTGTGTGTGACTGTCAGTGTGTGTGTGACTGTCAGTGTGTGTGTGACTGTCACTGTCAGTGTGTGTGTGACTGTCACTGTTAGTGTGTGTGACTGTCACTCAGTGTATGTGTGACTGTCACTGTCAGTGTGTGTGTGACTGTCACTGTCAGTGTGTGTGTGACTGTCACTGTCAGTGTGTGTGTGACTGTCACTGTCAGTGTGTGTGTGACTGTCACTGTCAGTGTGTGTGTGACTGTCACTGTCAGTGTGTGTGACTGTCAGTGTGTGTGTGACTGTCAGTGTGTGTGTGACTGTCACTCAGTGTGTGTGCGACTGTCACTGTCAGTGTGTGTGTGACTGTCACTGTTAGTGTGTGTGACTGTCACTCAGTGTGTGTGACTGTCACTCAGTGTGTGTGACTGTCACTCAGTGTGTGTGACTCAATGTGTGTGTGTGTGTGACATCACTGACAGCCATACAAACACATTGACAGTGACAATCTCACTCACACACGGTGACAGTGACAGACCTGCTGACACACAGCGAGACACCAACAGTAACAGACACATTGGCATAGAGACACAGAGTCCACGGGTTAACAGATTTACCAGAGAATGTAAAAAAAAATTTGTATATAAAAAAATTTAACCTGAAGAAGGCAGTGTCCCTGCCGGCCAGGATTTTGTTTCCTGAACATTTTCTTTTCTCTCTCTCAGGTTTCACCCGCAATAAAAGGATGAGTGTGATCTGTTTTTCTTATGTTTTTCTTCCAGACAGGGCAAAACCTTGGGCAAGTTTCCTTACTCCACACAGAGCCTAATAATAATCGCTCCAAAACCACAAACAATAATAAATTGGTCATTTTCAATCTACGACTGTTTGTGGGACATTGCTGTGCGCAATTGGCTGCCGCGTTCGCCCACAAATATACAGTCAATTCACTTTACGGTGTGTTCTGTGAAGCGCTTTGGGACGTCCTCCCGATGTGAAAAGCGCTATATCAAATGCAAGGATTATTATTATTATGGATTTAATAATATTCCTCATGGTAGCTTTGAAATAAAGCTAATTTTGAATAAATTATCCTACACGATTTCATGAACAGGAATAGGAACAGGTGCTAAATGTCAAATCATTGATGCACTTCAGTGATTTTTTTAACATCTGCTATTTCATTCTGTGAAGCAGTAACAGCCCATAAGAACATAAGAATTTGCTACGCCTTCCAGTTCGCCTTCCACCATCCTGGCAGTCGCATGACACATGTCGTGTCCCAAACTGTACATTGTATAGGCACACAGTGACAGTCACGCATGCACTTACAGTCACACACACAGTTATCACACAATAAAAGTGTAGCAGTTATCACTTGGTGCCAAAGCTTTAGCACTACTCCCACATTTTAAAATCAGCAGTAGATTATAATCACATGGAGGGTTTCCCATATTTATGCATCTTAGTCCTGTAGCTCAGTGGTTAGAGCATTCGCCTCACAAGCGAGAGACCCGGGTTCGATTCCAGGCAGGGCCAAATGTTGGGCAAGTTTCCTTAGTCCACATGCCTCTGTTTATCTAGCAGTAAGTGGGAACCCAGTTGTTAAGTCTTGGTGGATCGCTTTTCCGGGGGTAATAATCCCTCCAAAAAAATACTATTAATAATTTGTCACTCAATCCATGACTGTGGGACACTGCTATGTGCAATTGGCTGTCGTGTTTGCGCACAGAATGTACAATCAATACACTATACAGTATATTCTGTGAAGCACTTTGAGACGTCTCAAAGACATGATAAGGTGCTACATCAAATGCAAGGATTATTATAACGGCTAACCATGAGACACGACCATAATGCCTATTGTTAAACTTAGTTATTCCCTACACAAGTGCTGAATAATCTGCACTTCCAGCCAACAATCAGGACATTTACTGGCAAGTGGGCAATAATAACTCTTTTTCCTCTTGAATAGTACAGTAAAGTCCTGATAACTCGACCCTGGCTTAACTTGTCACTATCACTTAAGTCAGCGTGATCCAACGGGATGGGGGGAGAAAGAGGAGTTAGAGTATGTGTTTGAGAGAGTGGTAAGAAAGAGGTGGGGGGAGTGGTGAGAAAGGGAGTAGAGAGAGAGTGAGAGGGGGAGAGAAGGAACAGAGGGGGATTGAGAAAGAGTTTGAGGGGATCGAGAGAGTGTGGAGTGAGAGTAATTGAAAGAGGGAGAGGAAGAGAAGGGGGATGTGGAGTGTGGGAGGGAAGAGAGTGAGACAGAAAGTGTGAGAAGTAGAGAGAGCGTGTGGGTGAGAGGGAGTAGAGAGAGTGATCAAGGGGGAGAGAAAGGAGAATTGAGGGCAGTGTTTCGTGGTTCACTGTCAGGACAGACGATCAGAACTTCCCGAAGACGAACACCGAGTGACATGCCGTGCAGTTTCCTCACAAAAAAAGTTCCCTCTTTCCCCATTGAAAAACTCCTACATCCTTCATTCTATTTCCCTCCAGACCCTACCTCTGCAGCCTCCCGAACTGACCATTCCCTTTGCCCAACAAACACCAGCTTGTTTTGCCCCCACTCTGGAGTTCCATTCTTGGAATCCCTCCGGCTCCCTCCCTCCCCTCTGTCAAAAGCACATCAAGACCTAACACTTTGACCACGCTTTTGGTTATCTTTCCCCCTCCCCATCCCACCTCTC